GCCCCTCTGGGCCTCACCCTCCCTACCTCTTTTCGGACGTATCACCGGTCCTGCCTTATGACCTTCGGTACCGCTCCGCTCCCTCTACCCTTTGTTCCCTTTCAGACGTCTTCGTTCCGATTCGGTTACCCTTTGTTTTCCTTGTGCTTTTGCCCCTTCCATTATATATATCGGCGCTTGTACATACTCGTTTTGGTTTAGTCCGAAATCGACCTGAAATGCCCCCTAGAGACTTCCTGCTCACCTACTGTGAAATTAAGGACCAAATGGACAAACAGCAATGGCACAGCGCTCCGCTTGAGTCGCTGAGGCCAAGGTCCCTCCACGCTAAGTCTCCGACTCCGGAGTCGTCTGTTCCCGCCCGGTTCTAACAACATTGAAAGTCCGAGCTTAGGGAAAAGACAACGTTTGCGTAGGATCCATAGTTACAACATACAACGAAATTTACACGGAAATTATTAAAAATGGGGAACTATAGTTATGCAAATTTTCAGCCCAAACAGTCCAGCCGTTGTGAAGTTATACCCATGACGGGAATATAGAAATCCGCATCATGTGTAATGACACGTGAGGGTGGCGATGCGCAGGGAACCGGCCGTCAGAACCGAGATCCGCACTTCGGCAGATCGCGAAGACCAATTTCTGTCCAAATAAGGAAGAGCCCAGTCAAAACAAAGCACGGAAAGTGCAAAACAACCTTAAATCATGAGGGAAAAATCTGAAATAAATCACAGAAGCCCATATGAAAGAAATAAACACCCACGCATATCATAAATCCCGAACAATTAAACGGAAACGGCGCCCGCATACGAACGACTATGGGAATGACGCACATGATTACCGAATGTGCACGCGAACTTTTGCTAACTCAACGAATACCAGGAAATAGGACACAACCTTGGTACCATTGGAAAGGTGGGAATAAATGAAAATTTATGATACCAAGAACGTGAGAAAACATCCAGAAATGAATGAGATATAGGGACATGAAGTTAGAAACCTGAAAACGCGTGGGAAAACAGCTTCAAGAGGTCCAGAGTCCTAAATAAAATACATAAAAATATGAAATCTTCAAGGACGACCTACTATAACAACGAACAATACATATGGAGGATTAGGATGTGATAATACAAAAGGGAATCAGGGAATATGAACGAAATTCACGAAAACCACTAAACTACGATGGACCATGGCGGGAATTTTAGGGAACGATATTCTAATGAGGAGGAGAGCTATAACACATTCGTTTGAGTAATTCTTGATTACTAGCAACTTTTTCATTCAGTTTTAAACCTGAATAATTCACTCATTTACCATTTCAGTCTCATTTTAACTAAATGTCACTAAATAAAAATGGAATAAATCAGCTGAAGGTCTCAGCATAGCTGTACACATAGTAATGCGAAGTTTGAATTCAGAATCATCGAGTCATAGCAAATTTAACGGTATATATAGGGAATTTGAAATAGGTAACTGCGGCAAATGCAGCGCAGCCAAGTTCCAATTAACCATTAAAATAGCTTAGGCGAGGGAGGACAATAAGAATTCTAGGCACAGTCTGACCGCAGTAGGACTGCAGTAGAACCGCAGTTCAGCGCAGCAAAAGCGCAGTAGAACTATAGCATGAAAATTTCATTTTTATTCAGTTTGAGAAAAATACACTGTAAATAAATCCTGTAAATAGAAGGTAGAGCGTGAAAAAGGAAGGTGACCCAAGGAGTATAAAAGGGAGACCCTTTCTGCGACTTTTCGCCCCCCTTAGAGAAGTAAGAAAATAGAGTATTATTTTTCTCAAGCATTTCTGGTTGTCACTCCAGTGCGAAAAAGTGATATACAGTTAAGATTGCCACTGTAGTAAAAGGCAGCAATAAAGGAGAGAAATATTAAGTAGATATTTCAACAGGAGAGCTGGTTAACACTCCAGATTTCAAAGTGTAAACACAAAACAGTTATTTTGCTACTGTTAAAACAAGCAATAAAATAAGACAAAAATAGAACAAACTCAAGGGACACTCCAGACACAATCCAAATTCATTAACTGAATAAAATCTTTGAAACTTCACTAAGTAGAAGATTAAATTCAAGTTTAAATCCAAATTAAACAACGCTACACAGAATTACACCTAGACAAATTAATAAATTTCAATAAAGAAACAGCTCCGCAGGGCTCGGTTTATCTGTAAGTCAATTCCCAGGAACTTTAAAACTAACCCATAAAAATAGAATTAGCCAAAACACTCGGATTGGTACTTTATTTACAATAAATAACACTAGTACACTTCCCCATCCTAACTAAAGAACCAGGGAACAGCTTGGTGGTGGTCTCGTTTGAACCTCCCAACTGACCTTCCTTCGTTCTCTCCTTCAGCGCTCATTTTTGCATCGTCGCTCTTTATGTCGATGACTTAATGATCCTTTCCAACCACCTTCCCCTTCTTCGAAAGAAGAAGAAGCAGCTAATGTCCACATTTAAGATGAAGGACTTGGGGGAAATTCATTGGTTCCTTGGACTGGAAATCACGTGTGAGCGCCAAAGGCGCTTAATTTTTGTCTCTCAATCTCGCTACATATCCGAGGTTGTCGATCGCTTTGGATTTAGCACCTCTCATACAGTCTCAACTCCTATGATGCCGAATCTCAAACTCACTTGCCACGAAAGCTCTGACCCTGACATCAACACTCATGAATACCAATCCCGAATTGGTTCGGTAATGTACGCAATGCTAGGAACTCGACCAGACATCAGCTTCACCATCACCATACTCAGCCAATATTCTTCCAATCCAGGAGAAGGGCATTGGGCTGCTATCAATCGTCTACTACGCTACCTCAATGCTACAAAACATTTCAAATTGGTCTACGACAGTAATTCGAAGTCTTGTTAGAACGTGTGGATTCGGACGACTCCGGAGTGGAATCGGAGACTTAGCATGGAAGGACCTCGGCCTCAGCGACTCAGGCGGAGCACTGTGCCATTGCTGGTTGTCCTAGGGGTCCCTAATTTTGGATCTAGCAGAGGGAAAGTCTCTTGGGGGAGTTCATGTCGATTTCGGACTGAGGTTACAAGTTACTAGGTACATTGTATATAAGGAGGGGTCCGGAATCAAAAGGAACAAGGGTAGGACAAAAGGAGACAAAGGGAGATGGAAAGAGGAACAACACCGAGGGTCAAGTGTTTGACTCAATGGTGTTTCCCAAAGGAGGAATGAAGGGCCAAGACCCAAGAAGGAAGGAAGGAGGATGGGAGTCGGGAATGGCTAGCTGACTGAATAGAAAGGAAGCAGCAGCCCAAATAGGAATGAGGGAGAATAGCGGAATTGAAATGGACAATGCAATAGTTGCAAGGTCCGGAGTAAGTCCAGAAAGCCCGAACTCGGAGGTTAAACTCCGGAATATTGGCAAAGGCAATTAAATGGAATGAGCTAACCAATACAATGGGTATAAGCGGAGGTGGGGTCAAAGTCCGAGGTCAGAACTAAGACCGGAGGTTCCGGAGACGAGACGTGAACGGGATACCGGAGTGGAGGTCCGGAGTCGGGAGCATAGGTTTTGCGTACTCGTCTGGAAGGTGTCAAGGTTGGGGTCGGACCCGGAATGTTCCGGAGTCGGACCGAAGGTGGTGTCCGAGCCGGAGGTGGGATAACCTCTTGGGAGTCGGCAAGGAGAAAGTGATGGAAGGGAAGTAGGGCTCCGGAAGTCGGAGTTCGGAGTTCCAGGAGCCCGGAGCGGAGGTCAGGATTGTATGGATATGACAAGTCTAGCGACAAGACTGGCTATTCCGATTCGGATTGGGCTGGAGATCCGAGAGATTCTCGATCTATTTCTGGATTCGTTTTTACCATGGCCGGAGCAGCAGTAAGCTGGAGTTCAAAGAAACAGACGTCGGTGGCGCTCTCGAGTACCGAAGGCGAGTATATGGCTGTTACCCATGCAACTAAAGAAGCGCTCTGGATTCAACAGTTTCTACGCGACCTTAACTTCCCTCCTTCCGACCCAACCACCCTCCTTGTCGACAATCAAGGCGCTATCGCGCTTGCCACCAATCCCGCATTTCACACATGAACGAAACATATTGGCGTCCGACATCACTTTATTCGCGATCAAGTAGAAGATCACACGATTTCTTTACAATACATCCCTACCGATGATCAAGTAGCCGACGTATTGACGAAGGCTCTCGCGTACGCCAAACATTCAAAGTTCAGAACAGCGATGGGACTGTGTGAGTGGCCACATCGAGTGGGTGTGTTGAAATCTTGGTTTTCTTGGGAGTTATAGTGCGCTGTGGCCAACTCACAATGTGATGTTGAGCTAGCGGCGCTATATTTCCTTTCTTGGTATTCCTGCTACCAAAGTCAGTGCGCCATTGAGGCGACTGCTTATAAAAGCAGTGAACAATTTTTCACTTTCGTCTCCCTCAGTTCAACAACGATTGACTGAGGTGAGACTGCGCTTTTACCACACATTTATCTTGTCACTCATGTACCCTCATGTGCCCTAGCGTAAAACGCTAGGTAATTAGTTCCAATCTAATAAGTTCAACAACGATTGACTGAGCGTAAAACGCTAGCGTAAATCGCTAACATCCTAATAGAAAATACAACGGAGTTGAATAATATTCGACACCCGATCAACGGAAATCTCTCACTGAATCGATGGCGCGACTTCTAGAATGAGAGGATTCCCAAACCAGCCCTTCGATCAATCCGTAGCTATGCATACCTTTTCCTCAACGTGTAGCTAGAAGATGAGGAACCGAAGTTTCGATGCCGAGAATGGGAGGATATACTAGCCTTTGAAGCAATGGACCCTTGTCGACGATCCCTTTGAAGGGGCCGTTGGGGAAAGGTGCCCTCCTGGAGCTCCCGACCGACAGAATCGATCTGTTGGAAACGGCCGAGAGGCGAGGTATTTTTAGAAGGCGAAAAGGGCAAAAGAAGCCAGCGCAAGAGGACTCGATTGGCTCGAAAACACGTGAAACTTTCAACCTAATAGATTCAGAGGCATTCAGCGAACGGCAAGCAATAAAAAGCACAAGCATTTCTTGTATCAGTCGCTTGGGTCAAACGAGAAGGACCAACGAAAATCGGCATCACTAACCCCTCGATAAGAACGAGCAACAAAACTTACCGAGGGTAAACAGTCAACTTCGCCCTATTCGCCCACGAAAACTTTCACAAAATAAAACTTGGCCACCTTGTTCATATCTCTCCCACCTGTATATTCAGGGAAGATACTCTCTAACAGCTCTCCTAAATCTCTCGCACTCCGCTCGCCCACATCCTCATTCACACTCCAACCCCCGACACCGGCTCCGCCCTCCCGCCCCATTCCCATTCTCATTCCCACTCTCACTCTCACTCTCACCACCCTGTCCCTCTGCTACAGCCTTCCCTGCAATCTTCTCCATAAACACATCCTTCCTATTTATGAGAAAAACCATTTCAAACAGCGCAAGGGACCCCTTCACCTGATTCTGAGCGGAGTGGTTGACCGTATTCCAATAGCGCGACGCAAAGGATGATGGAGGTGACGGATTCGGGACAGTGAATCCACCCTTGGATCGTTGACCGCCCACGTCAAACATGAAAAACAAGGTGGAGTTTCCATATGCTAATGGGAAGGGGGAAAAGAAAACGTACTGGATATTCAACTGACCCCCACTAACTCCGGTATCCCCGTCTTCGCCCTCGCCCTCAACACATCGTTCGAATTGGGGACATGATTCCTCGAACATAACCTCGCATGGTCCAAAAAATACGCTGCTCAATCCATAAAGTACAAGTCTCCAGTTCCTTCCCCCATCCCCGCCACCACACTATTACTTGCAGCCCACAACCAAGTGAATCGATGTCAGCGTCACGCTAATCAGCACTGGAACAGCCGCACGACCAAACTGATTGGAGTGTTTATGTGTTCTGGATATTTGGCTGGCAAACTTCAGGCTGGTCCTGAGAGCGCCAAAGGCAGGCGGAATAAATAAAGAAGAGAAATCGGTCCAGAACCTAGATCATGCTCCTAACTGAGGCCCGGCGAGACGCGATGGGCAGTACAGTGGGGCCATGGTTTCAGGCCGCTATCGGCGCGGCACTCAGTCATAGGGAAAGGAGAATTGGGTTGCCAAGCCTTCATACTTCAATAAGCTTTGACGCACAGCCCACGGCCACAAGTCCCATGTATCCAGAGAAACTGTATAGAATCTGATTACGCTTCCATGATGAGCAATGAGAAGACCGTGATGGGACGCCAGTTAGGGTTCCAGGTGCCACACCGGCGCTTACCGCCGGCCCTGCGTCCAGGTCAATTCATACCGAGTACGCGCACCCATCCTGTTTGCAGATGTTCTCTCGCAGTAGATAAGCCAGGATTTAATGTCATCATTCGTCCCAGTCCCCACCGCACGGACTACATACAATTCGCCGCTGGTATTGGATTGGATGTCCGTATGCTGTCGACCAAATGTATATGCTGTGCCTTTCCTCATCTTTCCATAATCAGACGGAGGCCTCATGGCTCTGAGCATATAGGGCTCACACGTGCCCAAAGCTCCCTCTCCATCACCTTGTCCACTATCGACCATGTCGGTGCAGCAAAAGGCTGGAGCTCTCAGGCAAAAGATCGATGATCTCCTCGTGGAGGGAGTTGACATCGCCGTCCCAATTCTCAAGGTCGTCAATGCTACGGCTGATTGGTGTCCCCCTCTAAAGATGGCGACTGGCGGTGCACTCTCCATCCTTGATGAGGTTAAGGTTGGCGATAATTTTTGCCTGGCCATGAATGAAAGCTTACTCTAGTTTGTGCCATGTAGAAGTTCAAGGACAACAAGCAGGAATGGTCTGGTTTTGGGAAATACGTGGTCGACACTTGGTTTCAGCTATAAAATCCTATGATGTGTCGGCGGAAGAGGCAAAGCCGTGGGTTGAGAGTGTCACACAGCTCGACGGGCAAGTTATATTCGTTTTTGGTGGTCTTTGATATCGTTACTTACATCAAGTCTCAGCGCGCTACAGAAGATTAAGTCCGAAATCGAACGAAGGCTGAAAAAAGCAGAGAAGCGACCGGCTGTCCTAAATGTTGTGTCCTACTTGAGAGACCCAGGAAGAATTGATGGCCTCAAGAAAGACTTTGACAAAGCATTGGTGTCGTTTCAGGTAGCTTTCCTTACAGTATACGTTCCATAACCATCCTGATTTCCGGCCGATGCAGCTTAGGATGAATCTAATCGGTGGTGCCAAATTAGCGGCCATAGAACGTCGTCTACAGGACGACAAAATCCTCGATAGTCTCCAATACCCTCATATCGCCCATGACGATTTCACTCATGCGTGCCTAGAAGGGACTAGGATTGATCTCACGGAGCGTATCATGACATGGTGTCGCAACACTGGGGAGAATGAGAACCGGCTAATGCTCCTGACTGCTGTGGCTGGTGCCGGCAAGACTTCAATTGCACTCACAGTAGCAGGATGATGTGCGAGTGAAGGGGACGTTACGCTCCTACTGCACTTCTTCTTCAAAGCGGGAGAGCGGTCGCGGCCCGATTTTCTATTCAGTGGAATAGCTCGAACTCTAGCAGACCACGACCCAGTTTACCGTACTTTCATCATCTCTGCACTTCGAAAAGACCCTTCACTCTCAACGGCCCTACTCGCAACACAATTTGAGAATTTGGTGGTTTTGCCTCTCCTCCATAAACCTCCACCTCCCGACCGTCCCATGGTGGTCATCATTGATGCTTTGGATGAATGTGACAAGGAAGTGTTCGAGTCCTTTGCCGATATTCTTCGGGAGGAAGTGCCCAAGCTACCATCTTCCATAAAATTCTTTATCACGTCGAGACATACAGATCTTGTTAGACGCTCCCTCTCACCCCAATTCCCTATCAGTCGTCTCGCCATTGACCTTTCGGATGACACGAATGTGCAAGACTGTGCTACATATATACGTTTCGAGCTGCAAAAGCTGAAGAATTGGCATCCCGATTTACGGCATAATCTTCAGGACGAGGATAAAACAGTTCAGGAGATCTTGGAACGTGCGAGTGGCCTGTTTATTTGGATCAGCACGATCTTTCGCTACATGAAGACAGCCAACAAGGATCCGATGAGGACGTTAGAAGGCTTGCTCGACACTGGTACGAAACGATCAAAGGTCCCTGCCGAGGGAATGATGGACCGCTTATATACAAGCATTCTGAAGAAGTGCGATTGGGAGGATGAAGATTTTGCCCATGACTACCCAATCGTGATGGGAGCAATCTTTGTCGCACAGCGACCTCTGTCCATCACAGCCTGGGATGCAATTTTGTCACCTTTCCTTAAGTCTCCTGTTCGATATTCATTGGCTGAACTTGCTCCTCTGCTCTCAGGAGTTGAAGATTATCACTTTCCAGTTCGCATCTTGCACCAATCTTTCCGCGACTTCATTGTCGATCGGATCGTTCCCCTATCAATCAGCCCTTGTTGCATCCCAGTAGATGTAGGGATGGAGAATGCGAGAGTTGCCCTGCGATGTACCGAGATTCTGAACCAGGATCTTTGCTCTGTAAAGGGCTTGGGACTGATTGAAAACTTGTCCGAAAAAGACGAGCTGCCACTCATTCCCTCGGAGGAGTCATCCGAGCACTTTCATTATGCATGTTGCTATATTGTCCATCACCTCAGTGGAGTCCAGGAACCATCGCCGGAGCTTGATGAGTCAGTTGGCGCGTTTCTCAGTGAGCAAGCAACCCGCTGGGTGGAAGCCTGTGTGAGAATGGAGGGCTATATTAGCATCTCGTTACTCCCTGAGTGGGCGAAGGTGTGTTTTATCAGCTGTGTCAATGAAACAACCTAATTGGCTCATGATCTTTCAGTTGGCTGTTGGCCACAGATCAAAAGGTGCTGTTTGCACACTGGTCCGTGTGCTTGTCCAGCTTGTATCGAATTTGAAATTCTTTGCAAGATTCAAGGAAGCATATGAGGCAGCAACCGATTCCGTTGTGCTCTGCCGTTACCTTATTTCTGTCAACCCGGGGTCCTACTCCCCAGATTTGGCCTACTCGCTTGTGGCTCTTTATTTGACCCTTTCCAAACTCGGACAGCACTCGGAGGCACTCCCATTCATCGAAGAAAGTGTCAACCTCTACCGCCAGCTGGTCACTGTCCACCCGGGATCACACACCCCAGATTTGGCCATGTCACTCAACAATCTATATGATGCTCTTTCCAAACTCGGACGGCACTCGGAGGCACTCCCATTCATTGAAGAAAGCATCAGCCTCTACCGCCAGCTGGTTGCTATCCACCCGGGATCACACACCCCAGATTTGGCCCTCTCACTCAACAATCTATATTTAGCTCTTTCCAAACTCGGATGGCACTCGGAGGCGCTCCCATTCATCGAAGAAAGTGTCAGCCTCTACCGCCAGCTGGTTGCTGTTCACCCGGGATCATACACCCCAAATTTGGCCCTCTCACTCAACAATCTATATGGCGCTCTTTCCAAACTCGGACGGCACTCAGAGGCGCTCCCATTCATAGAAGGAAGCGTCAGCCTCTACCGCCAGCTGGTTGCTGTCCACCCGGGATCATACACCCCAGATTTGGCCATGTCACTGGACAATCTGCGTGGTGCTCTTTCCGGACTCGGACGGCACTCGGAGGCGCTCCCATTCATTGAAGAAAGCATCAGCCTCTACCAGCTGGTTGCTGTTCACCCGGGATCATACACCCCAGATTTGGCCATGTCACTCAACAATCTATATTTTGCTCTTGCCCAACTCGGACGGCACTCGGAGGCGCTCTCATTCATTGAAGAAAGCGTCAGCCTCTACCGCCAGCTGGTTGCTGTCCACCCAGGATCATACACCCCAGATTTGGCCATCTCACTCAACAATCTATGTTTTGCACTTTCCGAACTCGGACGGCACTCGGAGGCGCTCCTATTTATCGAAGAAAGCGTCAGCCTCTACCGCCAGCTGGTTGTTGTCCATCCAGGATCATACACCCCTGATTTGGCCATGTCACTGGACAATCTGCATGGTGCTCTTTCCGGACTCGGACGGCACTCGGAGGCGCTCCCATTTATTGAAGAAAGCATCAGCCTCTACCGCCAGCTGGTTGCTGTCCACCCGGGATCATACACCCCAGATTTGGCCATGTCACTCAACAATCTATATTTTGCTCTTGCCGAACTCGGACGGCACTCGGAGGCACTCCCATACATCGAAGAAAGCGTCACACTCCGGCGCCAGCTAGTTACAGTTCATCCGGGATCATACACCCCGAATTTGGCCACGTCACTCAACAATCTATATTTTGCTCTTTCCGAACTCGGACGGCACTCGGACGCACTCCCATTCATGGAAGAGAGCGTGATACTCTGGCGCCAGCTGGTCGAAATCAACCCAGGAGCGTACACCCCACAACTGGCCATTTCACTCAAGCATCTTCGCAACGCTCTTTCCGGTCTCGGACGTCATTCTGAGGCGCAGATGGTTCACAGTTGAGCCACCCAAGTCCTGCGGTTCCACTCATTTCCCCTTGTCATTGCGTTTCCTTGCTACCTGCTCATGGAGAACACTAACAGCAATACTCATATGTACCTTTATCTAACACATCGTCGCTCATCGCCGATGTACTGTTTGTACATATCATCATATTAAGGTTTGATGGGTGATGAATGCTGGTGCAACGAAAAGACCCAATCGACAGGTCCACATCGTCGATGTACCATGAGGGGCATGTGGACGTCAACAATTGTGGGGTGACTTGGGCTCCAATATGTAAGAGACACAACAAGCTTCGATTCGAGGACAAATTTAAAGCCACCCAGTTGTACCATAAGCACGGGAGAAACCAGCCCATCCTTCCACTCTCACAACAACTGGATGCAGTTCGGCACCTCCTCATTTTTGATAACTCACCAACGGACAGATAATGAGAGGGTGTACTACACGTGAACGATGATCTTGTTCATGATACCATCGTTTGAGAACATGACTCGAAGAACGGGAGGGATGTGGAATTGCCATGATACGGATGAGGAGGCTATCCCGGACGAACAAGATGACCAGCAAACCGAGCGCGAAGGGAACTATTGCGGAAACTGGGGAAACATGTGTTAACAGGAGATAGGCTTATAGAATAACCGTTAATTCTAAGGTAGACCACCAGAATGCATCCGTTTTTTCCGAATAAGCATCACCTCCGAACACAGTGAGCCAGACCACCGTTAACAGAATCTGTGCACAGACTGCTTCCCGAGTCCTTGTGGCAACCCACCACCAACCTATCCAGATCGTGTCGGGTGCAATTTGTGTAGAGTTTTTCGGGATATCGACGTACGCTGTGACCCGACTCGACACGGAGTTGAGGCGGTTACCTTTCTTGTTAAACTCATTACCATGCTTGTGCGCTTTTCGGAGTGCGTCCCTTATAAAGCGAGAAAATTCTCTTTCATATCTTTCCTGAATTGATCGCGTACTACGGAACTGGGCGACATATCTGCTAGCATTTTTTTTTTGAGTTCTAAAAGTTTGAAGCGGATTTGTTCCATTCGTCGTGTTGTTGTTGCAGTTCAACAGGCGCCAAACAAACGAATGACGAATGAAACAATTTAGTGATAGCATCATAAACCTAATTATAGTTCACTCCAGTTTATAGCTCAAGTTTCGATCCAAACAAGGGACATAGCTAAGATTGACCTTGTGTCATAGCCGCCCGGCCCAATGATCTCGCGACTAGGAGTGGCTGATGCCTGAACCGTTTTCGCCTATCCTGTAGTCCATTTGATTGGTGAGGAGCCAATCACCTCGTAAAGAACCAAGGGACAAAGTATCAAGATCCAGGCCATGAATCTAGGCATGGGTGCGAGGTTGACTCATCCATGAGTATCGCCCCCATCGTACCTTGCGCCGTGAATGCTGTAAAGATGCTGCCAGCTGTTGCATATCATTTGTGTAACTTGACCCCGTTTCAAACCTTCTTGTTCACCTGTCCTCGAACCCGTCATTAGTTTTCGCACAAGAGACTGATTAATCTTGGTCATCCTTGTGACACAGTCATCCACTTCCCCTTTGGTCACAGTGAGCCCAATGTCCAAACGATGAGTAGGAGTGTCGGCCCGCTAAAGATTGTCGCGAAACCCAAGTACACGAAATCACATGTGCGCAGTTTAGAACAAGCAGGTTTGCTTCAAAGGGAGAATTCAACCCAATCATGGAATATAAGTCTGCCTGACATAGCTAGCGCTGCCTAGATGCATTAAGCAGCACAAGCTGCGAGTCGGCAGTTTATTCGCCTAGTTGAACCCTCAGAGTTTGCATAGATGCATCTTGAAACGAGGCATTGGGGATATATGCAGCCCTGCGAGTGGTTACCATGAATCCACCAAGTAAAACATAGACTGAGTGGGCCTGGTCCCTTGGAGAACTCCCTTGGTTCTTCCGATCCGTGCCGCAGCATGACAAGAATACAATGGGGTTGAGCGGGACAGATTCGATCCCCGATTGACAGTGATCACTGTATCGATGGTGCGACTTCTAGAATGAGAGAATCCCCAAACCAGCCCTTCGATTGATCCGTAGCTATACATACCTTTTCTTCAACGCGTAGCTAGAAGATGAGGAGCTGAAATTTCGATACGGAGACTAGGAGGATATACCAGGCATTGAAGCAATGGACCCTTGTCGACGATCCCTTTGGGAAGACCATTGGGGAAAAGAGGTGAGCGAGGGGTCAGGGATCTGGGTACCTTGATTAGCTCTATAGCATGTGGAACATTCAGCCTAGATTCAGCGAACGGCAAGTGATAAAAAAAGGGACACACATTCCTTGTATATTGGTTCGTCATAGAAGTGTTTGGGATGCAGCCGGACCTTCACGGCAAAACCACATCAGATCCGGAAAGTGTGGAAAGACCGTACCCCTACTCGGAGAGGTCTGTGTATAATGAATGTGGTGAGACAGGCCCTTGAATTTTCAGGTCTCAAATTTGGGTGGAGTGTTGCCGTGTGTAGGTCAGGTTATTTTGACGGTGACGTGAAGGGTTGCTGTGGAATGACGAATGTCCAAAGGATTTCGAGCTTTAGGGGTTCATGGCATCGACGTCAGTTCACCTAAGCATCAAAGCGAATATTGGAATTTGAGGCCATTCATTTCTGCAGCTGGAAGAGCCGCAATTGAGATTGCACTCAAGAGTGGGCTCATACATATTCGACTTAGACAGTGTGCCATTTCATGAAAAAAGGCTTACATGTCAGTGGGCCTGGTCTCCACGATCCTGTCAAATCGCAGAGGCAAGGGAATAGAAGATGGCGTGAGCGCTTGGACAGTGGCTTCTTCAATGAGTTTCTTTCCTTCACCCATAGGCGCGTTCTGCATCTTTCTGACAAGTGAACTGACAGACTATGCTGACGGAGACTCGAGAAGGGTATTATGGACTGTAAGAAGGTCAATGTGGTCGACACATGCAACAAAATCGAAGGACAAGGAAGGTGCCGACTGTTTGTTTACACTTCGAACTCGAACATTGATTCATTTATTGATTACATGCTTATTGCTGGCGGCTCCTTCCGTCTAACGCCCCAAGACTGAGAGGAAGCGGATGAGCGAGTGAGCAACCGAGAAAATTTTCTCTGGCTGCAACTGCGTTCCACCCGTCCTTTCACAATGCACAAGCTCAAATGGATTCCAGTCGAAGAACTATCACGAAAGGAGCTGAACAAACAAAAGCAGCTTATAAATCAATGCATGAACCAGAATCCCGAGTTCTTAGAGCAGCTTGTAGAAGAACACGGGCCCTTCCCTCTTTTGTGGGATTTCAACGTTGCCGCTAGAGTGAGTGACGCTTCGATTCGATGCGGGAAAGCTGAACAGCTATAAAATTGATGGATCTAGGCAAGGGTGCAAGGACGCTCGAAGCGGGTGGAAGGGTCAGCACTCACGGTCACCCGCAGTGAACACCCTATGGGCCTTCACTCGAGGGAGGCGGTCAAGGCTGCCATCGAGGGCCACCGGCCAGCGGTAGGATGCCATGCTGGCCCCTCCACAACGTTTTCTGTCCCCCTCCGACCAGATCCTCCCATTCCCAAGCCCCTCCCCGGAGCGGTAACAGTGCCACTGCACGTCCACGGGCAGCATGGAATGCACGCAAGCACACCATTTTCCTGGGTCCAGCCAGGCCCTGCTGCACCATGGACGAGGCCTGCGCTGCTACAACCCTTTCCCATTCCACCACCACCACCGCTGCCGTTACTACAACCGCCAACACGACCTCCGCCAACCCTTCCAATCCAAACTCCTCGCGTGGTCGAATATAGAACACGAACTCATCACCTCCTTGTGAGTTGAATTTTGTCTGACTATCATAGCAAGGACCTCTGAAATGATACTGGGTTGCATCGGTCAGGGTGAAGTGTACTTTCCGGCCGTCCGCGGCCGGGATCCCAACCCGTTTGGCGCGATAGGTTCCCACCTTCCCATAAGGAGGAACCCATGAGCGCGCGCAAGCTTGGTACCGACCGCCAAGCGAAAGTCCATGCATTCCGTCGGTGCAACAAATGAATCACCCATCCATATTGTAACTCTGGTGTCATTCTAATCGTTTCTTCCTCTTGTAACGTTCGTGATACTCAGTATGTATTGCTGAAGTCGGGTATCTTCGTTGAAGTGCAAGTGCTGGCTCCGACTTTGTACAGGTACCAACCTAATATATCTTTTCGTGTCCGTAGTCCGTGGGTACGTGAGTAGCTCTCATGGTGACATGGTCGTTAATCAAGGGGGACCTTTGCTTTGGTCTCTGGAGGATAAGCTTTAAAAGCTCACTGATTGCACCCGGATCACCGTGTGACAACATTACTTCTCGGGTCGTTTCGCATCGGATAACAATTTCTCTCGGGATGCAAGCACTTCGGCTATGTGTTTCACATTGGTCGTCCTCTCCTGCCAATCTCACGCACTCTCGAGTGATGCAGACCATAGAGTCCCTAGTGGTATTATGGGAAAGCCTAGTGCAACTTGAGAGACCAACGCCAGCTTTCGCGCTGAAGTCATAACGTCATGGTGATGTCATTACATAATGCATGATGGCGCACAGCTAGTAACTATATCTAGCGCCATCATCTCAGTGGTACACATCTCGATAAGCCTATCGTGTCAACGTCAAATTAAGGTATCGTAATGATCCAAAAGTGATGGAGCACCTGTTTCTAGTTCGAATACAAGTATGGCCTAGTAAGCGTTGTGATCAATGTGATATGTGCAGCTGCTTGTCGACGTAGCTTAGCTTGGCCGCAGGATACAGCTTTGCAGGATCAGTCTAGTGTCCTACCACATCTCATGATGCTCTGTATATTTGTAGGTGCTGGTACAATTGGGGCACGCTACCTGATTCAACTTTCAGGTTACGGGGTTGTTTTGAACGGAACAACGGACTTGGGACGGAACGTTTCAAGCGCGCACTTGCCGGAGCGTGTGGGTTGGTTTGGCGGTGGAACAACGCCCTTGGACAATTTGAAGCTTGGATTGCCAGACACCTAGATGTTAGTGTAATTCAAGGCTAATGTTGGCACAGTGCCCCAACGGTCAATGATAAGCATTACTCTTCGAACGTAGACAACGGAAGAGCGTGGCTAAATAGCTTTCTGCACCTAAGGCTTATTCGCATTTCTTGGTCTGAGTACAAAAGCGATGCCTCTGAAGTGCGGGGTCGAGTATGCACGACACCTCACGACGTTGAAACCATATTGCATCCCTGCTTGTGGAAACGTCGATTACTATTGCTTCAGACACAATTTCCGTCCTGAGGCAAGATAGGGATGAGAGGAAACATCTTCGGGTCCTTCTCCGACTAGCGGCGCCTTCCTCCAGCCTGTATCGAAAACACCCGGTTCTCACTGTTCGGTCCTTCTTGTGTCTCACTCCGAAACCCCGAGTCATTTGGACACTTTGTGAGTTGCCCAACCGGCCTCACTGCGTTTGCATCCCCCTCGGTGGTAATCGTACGTATTGTTGATAGCAGCGGCTGCCGTGTTACAGGGACTCGGTGCTACTACCGATACCGTCACGCGTTAATATTATCACCAGCAACCCAAAATGCATACCAGCATGGCACCAGTGGTACCGTGCATGCTTGGTCAGCCGGGAAATTAGTTCTGCGGCAAAGTCGCGAGGAGTTCAGAAATGCTAAGGTTTGCTCCAAGCCCATTGACCGCCTGGTGGCGATAGAACCCAAGTTTTGCCCAAGTAAGTGATAGTATATGTCTCAATAGTGCTCCTCGATTGTATACAACTTGAGGTCCTTAACCCAATTGGATGAAGATACGGTATAGTGCCGGCGCCGCTTTCCACAGCATCCGGCATGAACCGAAAATCCAGATTAGACACTGTGTGCGGGAGGATACAATCAGGTAGTCAGTAAGGCGTCCCAAGATCAGCCATATTCTTGATCTTCATGTCTGATCCGAGTACTTGTGGCAGACGGAAAAAGGGAGATATAGACATTCAGCGGCAAAACGATACTTAGATTCAGAAAGTGTGGTGAGACCGTATCCGGTACGCATCCGGTCTGGTTAGCCTCTGAATCTCGAATGGGGCAAGACAGACATGCTTGTGTCCACGGATCTTAAATTTGGATGAAGTATCGCAGTGCGTAAGTCAGACCATACCATATTGCAAGTGACATGAAGGGTTGTTGTGGAGTGGTGAATGTTCAGAGCTTCAGGAATTGGCGCCAGTCCGCTGAATATTGGAACGCGAGCCATTCATTTCTGTCGCTGGGAGTTTGATCACACGTGGCTATGGACTCGGTTTAATGGTATATTCGTCTCATCTCAAAGGGCTTGCATGTAAGCGGGCCTGGTGTCCATAATCCTGGGAGTCCTAATTGCAGTGGTCATGAAGAATCAAAACGGTCTATCAAGAATGCCCTTTTCACGCGGGTGGAGTTGGCAGATGGAACAGATTTTAAGAAGTAGCTGCGAATAAGAATCCCAAGAGTGTGTGGATGAGAGCACGTTGATAGAAATAGAAAGGACGGAAAGCTACAATAATAGGGATTCATAGAGTCGGAAGGCGAAGCGCAGATGGTAAGTCAACCAGCGAGAGATCCGCCTCTTGATTTGTGGCAAAAAACGAACAAGCCAACAGAGAGGTGAAACCTTGACCTCCAAATTCTTCGGCAGGGAGGCCACCAAGGAGTGAGGTGCTTACAGCATCCGAAGCGATCAGTGAGAACCAAACGGGAGGGCCTCCATGAAGCGGCGACGCGGGATAAAGCGCCAGGCACTGGCCCAAACAACTGAAATTGGTCGTGAGAACTGAATCGCGGCTTGTGTTGTCTCCCTAATCACGCGTCAACAACCCAGCAATTCCCGTTGTTTCTTCCTATTTCGTTTCCGTCTCCATATGCATTTCCATCGATCGCCGCTGTTTACAACACATACGGTACAGTGGTGAACAGACTATCGTCAAAGCCCAGATTATTCTTCGTCCTCGCGCTCGAGACAGGGTGGCACGCGTTAAATGGGGTCAGCTGGCCCATAGGTGTTCAATGGTCGGTCAAAGCGTAAGCGCTTGTCCAACGTCGCTTGTCGGCGTTGAATTTTTCGTGCGATTGGAAGGGTTCTGCAGTTCATCGAGGTTGTTGACACGATGTTGCTCCAACTTGAGCTCGAGAAGCACACAACATGGTGGGTATTCCCCGTCCTATTGGCCCGCTCACGAGGTATCTGCCTACATCTGTATTGGACATATCTGTATCCGTATCGATGTTGGTGACGATCACTTGTGTCAGCAGAATGATAACGTTTATTTAATGCGACACCGTTCTCTCTCCCTGCCTCAATTGAAATCTCCGTCTCCGTTCGAACTCTAACTCTCCTTCATCTGAGCTGACCGCGGAGACGTGACACGTTATCCATTAACGACAGGACGGCCATATCCATGACCCATACGTACATGTTTTTCAATCCAACTACCCAGCTATTGTCCGTCAACCCCCGAGTGGTGTAGATATTCATTAGAGGGCTAACCGTCTGCAGCCATAGGACTCGGGAAGCACCGTATCCCGTCTGATCTGGGAAGTTCAGGGAGTACCGTTCAGTTAGTACTATGGTGAGTGGATCCTGAGTGCTGCTGTTTTTATTTTGGCTTTCTGCTACTTTTCCTGCGAGTGCGAAATTTATCAACGGAGCAACGTAAAACAAGGCATTTGTCCTACACTATTATTTGCATTTCATCTTTTCCTTTCTTCTATGCATCTCTACTAACCGCACATCCTCTATGTACAGTTTCTTCAGAATGTGTTTTCGCCTGGTGTCGGCCGTGCTGTGCAGGTTGCTGCGATGCAACGTGAGCACTATAGTTGCGGGAAAATGCAGGGTAGTCTATTCCAATAGAGGCTGGTAACCTCGCTATGGGCGCCCTTGAAGTTTGGGTCAGTACAGTAAGACCTTCCTTCCCATCGAAATCGAAGCAAAGAAACGTTGTCAGGGTAGTATTAGCCCGCATCTACCATCTATGTCTGATACTACTGGTAAGGTTAATACAAGTGGTTAATCTTCAGCTCCATCGGTTTCGCATCCACCTGTCGCGGATGTTAAGGTTGACCCACCGAACGTGAATGAATCTTATACACTGGGATCTGCCACATACATATACATGGATACAGGATGGATTACAGGACGAGTATACTCGAAGTGGCAAGGGTCGATCCTGAAGGTGTTTTTCCTGCAGTGAACAGGTTAAAACGTCCCTTATCTACCTGGACAGAGCGAAGTACCAGACCAAGGGAAGTTGGGCCCCGGAACTAAGACTGCACCCACTGCTGTAGCGTCTGCTGAGGGCCGCCTTGACTCGTCCACAGAACCCGGACCAGTACGATCGGCTGGACATAGCCAGCAGAACACTAGACAGACTTTTCACCCCGGAAACAGACACACCGACGACGGCATGTACCCTATGAACGAAGCCTGACAGGCGCTATCGGACATCAAAAAAGCGGGCCTGTGGGGATTCCCTTACACCTTCGACCAATGGATAATGAAGGGCATGGAACTTGGGGGCCTTCCACTACCATACGCCGCACTGCGTGGTATGGAATGACTCAGCTCGAGCTTTAGGCCAAGCTGAAATGATTCCTGGCTCGGGACGACAACTAACTAGCACAGCAAATGCTGGCGGGAGCTTCTGAAGGGACTCGAGTGCCTCCTGATTTCCGCACTAATCAGGGATGATGACCTTACCGTGCTCACCAGACCCTGCATTGGCTCAATCATCGAGCCTTCATTTGTTTCTCCAAAGGAAAATTCTGAACTGAAGCCAAATCCGGTTTCCGGAGGTGTCTGACGAGTGGCAATTTAAAGTCCTCGTTGAAGGATGCAAGTTGGTGGGCAAGGGCAGAGGGGAACTATTTGATAGATCCAGCCCTGATCCAGGCTGATTCTTATTGCAAAAGAATGGTGCTGCCAGAGTACCCTGTTCCTTCAGAGTGAATGCGACACCCAGAGATTGCTTCCAGGAAACCCCTTAACCAAACAAACCGGTTTCGGCTTTGTTCGGGCGCTTGAGCAAAGATTCTTGCATCTCGCCCCGTATGTCCGGAAGACACTTAGATTTGCAAGTGTGCTCAGCCGGGGCTCGCTGGAGTCTCGATAGCTCGGCTAGAGCAAAAAAAATTAGGTGATCTAAATGCATGTATTTAGCCACGTACAAACAGATAAATGCTCTGTAGGTCCCAACTGTGACGAACATGGTGAGTCAGGATCCGATCATCCGAAACATTTCGAGCATGCAAGCGTCGAATCGATAGCACCACGCAGGCAGTTCTTCGTATTCGTTACTTGCTGCGCTATGTCGAACGCTCGAATGATCTCGACGATATTTCCCTACTGAACTAATTCAATGTGTTTTCAAAACCCTATGAAGAGAGTGAACGAAGAGAAGACGAGACGTGTGCATCGCGCTAGACCTTTAAATTCGGGGGAATTTCTCCAGCCCACGTCCGAAGGGGCTCAAGCACCGAGTCTTGTG